ATTTCTAATATCTGAGTTTCTTGTTACAAATGCAAAAAAGCAAAGACTTGTTCCTTCCAATTATTACCAAGTAATTCAATTATATTTTGTAAAGTACAATTTGAAAAACCGCTTTATTTCATTTCTTTTTCTTCTTCTTTTTCTCTCCCCTTTCCCCCCCCCCTCCCGCTAATACATTGCTTTGTTAGGTGGAGCATCAATGTTGCATATAGCTATATAAATATGATGACTTTATAGAATTATTAACAAAAATTTTGGGCAGATGAACTCAAATTTATCATGAATGCATCATCACATAGCCTGTGTAAATGCAATAATTTCAAAATGAAAATTCAGTTAATCCACCAAGTTTTAATAAAAATAAAAAAATAAATAGAATTAGAACTATTAACTGCCTTTATAGAGAAGCATCAAAAGTAATATAAAACTGCATCTACAAATGCAGACATTATAAAGTTGTAAACTTGCATGTAAAAACCAAACCAAATACTTCTTTTCATAACAAATAATAAATCACCTTTTGAAACTCCTGGGCAAAAGCACGGATTTTAGCACCTTTACGGCCAATGATATACTTATGAATCCAATTTGGAGCTTCCACTTTTGTTGCTTTACAGCTGTTGGCCTTTTCATACACCAAGTTGAGAGCTGTAACCATAGACACATATGTACACATGCATGTATGAATGTATGCATAAACATCACCAGCCAACAACTCTAACTTCAAAGTACACAAATGTTTTCCTTACAAAGAGATGTATAATCAACTTCAGGAATATAATAAATATTAGGTCGCAAGATTCAGACTAATGAAGAAATAAGGAAATTTTTTCATCTGAGTCATGTCAAAAGCTCATCTGTATAAATATAAAAGAAAAATAAAATATTTTTTCCATAGTCCACAAAATAAGCATGCATGTTAATCACCACCAACCCATTACTCCAACTTGATCCCACTCTTTGGGCAGGAGGAGTGAGATTCATACATCAATATTTTTAGCTTTTTTAGCTAATTTTGCATTTTTAATACGCTTTTAGATGTTTCTCTATGATGTTCAAGTCTGTGTTAGCCACCTTTCAGGTTAGATTAGAAGGTTGATTCATACTTTTGGCACAAATTCATCCTTTACACTCACCGAAGAAACAAAATGTGTGATTTCCAATTTTTTCATAGGTTTTAGGTAAAGTTTAGGAACTTTTCTCATCTTTCATTTCACATTTAAAAAAAATACATTTCATATAATTTCATTAAGTTCAAAATTAAAACTGTGATAAATAAATTTACACAAAGTTTTAATTATTGGAAAATGGGAGTCAATAAATTAATGATTACCCAATACATGCGTTGAGTTTTACAACTAAATAAAATCCCAAAACTTTTCTTATTTTACACCTCTAGACAACAACGCAATAATAATCAAACATTTTATTTAATTAAATGTGATCATCACAAAGTTAATTAAAAAACTCAAGCATGGTATGTGGATACAATATACAAAAACTAATACGTCCAACTGTAACAATTACTGTAAATTTTAAAATGTACAAGTAATTTTTATCAGGAATTAACATATAGAGAGAAATGTAAGGTTTTATTACATGAAGCTAGGGTTTCGTTTGGTGGTGGTGGCTGTGTGCAAACCTGTGCCCTTCAGCAAAAACAAAATTTATGACGTTCAAGCAGATGGCAATGTCTTGACATTATCACACATTTTTTGTTCAAACAGTAGATATTTTATTTCCACATATTTTACACGCAAAAACTAATTTTAATTTTATTCATTTTCATTTATCACCAATTTGAATTAAATATGCTTCATTCCTTGGTTTCTTTCAAAATCTGTCTGTGACATTGAATATCATATTAAAGAAAACACTGAACAACAAACTTTAAACAACTATTTCATTCTGAAACTGAAAATTATACAAGGCTTTTAGAGGCATAATTGATTCTTGAGTAATAATGAATGTTCAGAGTTTAGATATGCAAACATTTCTAATTGACAGAAAATGTTTCTCAGCAAAAGCAGTAGTACTATAAAACATCCTCGGTAGCAATCTCAAATATATCTTAAAAAATCTCCAAGTATTATTCTGAAAAGTGAAGAAAATATGGCTCATTTCCGATTACAACAAAGACTTTATTGATTTAACGTTGAGTACTTCAGAAAATGTACTCTGAACCAAAACACCAAGTCAAATGAAAGCACAAATTTATGTACATAAACACAAAGGTAATGTTTTCCTTAGTAAAACTTTAAGAGCTTAAAAGAAATTCTGATAATAATGAGGGCTGAAAAGCAATGAATGCAGATTTAAAATGTTGGTCCACGGTGCTTTTGCAATAGCAAATCTAATAAAACCAGTTCACAAGTGAAAGGCTAGAAAGCCAACGGAGAGCTTTTGAAATATCTCAATAGTTTGCAACTCAATAGACCTCAATAGTTTTCAACAGGGATTGATACAAGGAGGTCCACATCCAATTAATTGGGGAAGAATAATCAAATCAAAAAATCAGCTGAATGCTTTAATTGTCTCTTAATTTAACCTTATGATAGTTCCTTTTCCAACATTTTTTTTGTCAGGTCTTTGTCATATTAAAATGAAGTAAATCTTTATCTAAATCAAAATCCTTAATTCAGAAATAGCATGTAAAAAATATGAATTTGAATGACTTTTGTAAAAAAAAGGTTTGTATTAAAATTATATTGTGATCTGTAATTGGTTGATTACCTAACATCAAATGAAATACATAAATAAATAAATCATCAATACAGAATCACTCCATCTCAGCACTCCCAGGCAAGTCATCTGAGAAATGTTCATTGGACTATGGAATGGCAATTATGCAAACATTCAAAGAATTACATCTACAAGGCAAGCCAACAAGTAAGCGCAGACACAAGCATAATACATCTAGAAAGCCAGCATACACTAAGTTAAACAAAATCCAATCTTACCATAACCAAGCTTTGTCTGAGGTCCTCTTAATGTAACAGTGCTGGATTCATTCGTGGGCATTTCTACACTCACACCATATGTTTGCAAAATCTCTGCAAGTGTACTGCCCCGAGGCCCAATCACGTATTTGTGTTGAGACTTAGGAACCTCAACAGACACAGAACTGCAATTTCTTTGCTGAAAAATATTCAATATATCAATCGCAGTCCAAATAACTCAAGCCCTTCAAAATTACAAAAATATTAGCATTTCATGAGATTACAAGAAAACAATTCCCTGTAATTAGTTCCTTTATACCTTTCCTAGAAGACACATGGAATAAACATTAATTAAGAGGTTTTACAATTAATCATCCTATTTTCAATAAATTTTTCAGAATCTCTTTCAAATTTTGTCAAAATAAATTGTACATACAAGAACATAATTAATTTTTATTTATATACAATAATACTAATTTTAAAATATAACTTCAATTTTTATGATAAAGTAGGGCAAACCCTGGATATACTCCTAGGCTGTTGCTACCAACAGTGTATACAAACAATATAACTAAATAGTAATACAAAAAAAAACGTCCATGACACACTGACTGTATTAAAATGGGCCAAAAATTATTATTCTATTACTTCTGTTAGGTTCTGGGTGGTATCTCCTAGACTATGACAGTGGACAGCTGGAAAATTTCTGAGCAAGACAATTTTTCTATAAAATATCTCATTAAAAAATATTTGGTCATCCTCTATTTGCAGAATATGACTAGTCAGTTGGAACCTGTTTTAACCTCAAGAAAATTTAACATTGATGTAACAAAAAACTGCAATGGTAATAAAAAAATTTAAAAAACTACACATGTTCATAATACTTAATTATACTTGCAGACCTATATTTTTGGCATCCGTAGGGATTTTCAGGCGATTTCGTCAAATATTTTCGAACAGCTAAGTAAAGAAACTGTATCAAGACATAGCTTTGTAGTAATTGAAACATCATGAAAATGAAAAAACTAGTTGCCAAGATTTTATTTCACAATGTGTAGTAGTGTAGACTCGGATGCCCAGTGAATGCAAATCTGTTTTGCCAGAGATCAAAGTTGAAAAAGTCACCTTGATAAAAGAACTGATTTTAAATCCAAAAACTGAAAAGATATAATTTTAAAAATATTTTCTTAGCAAAAATTCCTAAAGATTTGAAACTTTGCCACCTCACCTATGAACCCGAGGTCCGAGGATGTACACATGCGTCAGTTTGTAGTTCACAACTTTTCACACAAACATTAAAAATGTGAATTTCAATTTAATTGTTGTTATTACCAGTTCATGGTTAAGTTAATGGTTAAAAGAGACCACAAACAGGAGTCTGACACTAAGACAACATGGAATGGTACCAGGTGGCATCAGATGAAAAACTAAGAATCATCAACAAGCCAATTTTCTAGTCAATAGACAATTTGGGATTTTATTTCAAATGAAAAGTAATAGATATTTTTGTGAATTCCATTAATACTCTCATAGGGAATATAATATATTATGTCAATGCTTGCAATTAAAATGTTTATATATTCAGATAGCCCTTAAATGAGGTAACACTCTGAACGTATTGAAAAGAAAATTTAAAAAATAAAGTAAAATAATTGGTTGAGTAATGGAAAAAAAATCATCAGCAGGTATTTTCCATCTTTACAATCGTGGAATTATAAATACAGAATTTACATTATGTTATGTAATTTTCAAATTTATATAGCGGTCTCACTGGAGGATCGATTACAAAAAAAACAAACCGAGCATGAAAACAAACTGAGCATGCTACATTATTTTTACATGGAGTTCGATCAGAAATCGATCACACTGCCAAGAGGCAGATTTAACCAATTCTGTCCAGTGACTGAATCATTTCAGTGGAAGTGTAAATAATATTGAATTTGATTTTTACTGTATTACTATACTTATAATTTATAACTTAGGTAGTATTGTTCAAACAATGAATGTTATGAATAAAAGTAAGCAATTACTCTTTGCCCCAAGTTTCGGAGATCATCTCAATTTCGTATGAATAAAGTGGGTGAGCAATTGCTCAGTCTCTGAGCATACTTCAAAATGTCGAGCTAATGCATTGCTAAAATGCTAAGCATTTTATTTATTTATTTATTTATTTATTTATTTATTTATTTTTTTTTTTTTTTTTTTTTTTTTTTTTTTTTTTTTTTTTTTTTTTTTTTTTTTGGTTTGTTTACTTTCTCTCTATAATTTAACCAGCAAGTAACTTACCATATCATCATGGATTGCTATGATACGCTCCTTGGCAAGCATTACACCTTCCTTCTCACCAGCAATAATGATCTCATCTTTCTGCACCGATGGTGGTGGTACATTTATTCGCACTCCAGTTTCAGTCATTAAGGCATTTACAATAGAATGATGGGCTCCCGTAATAAATGGATGATACATTTTTGGTACACTGACAGTTTCACATGCTTGCTTTGACTGAAAATCACAACAAAGAAATTTGACTAGTTGCCGTATTGAAAACAAAAAATGTGGGGTTAACATATTATTCTTTTGAGAGTATCCGTAAGTAGGGTGTGGATTTTTATGTAATAAAAAGTCACATTATGCATTTGATACATTATGTTTTTATTTTTTCATATTCAAACATACGCTAATAATAGCTGAAAAAATGTGAAAATGAAAATCATTATTTAATTCATTAATATTATTTAATAGTCAGATAATAAAATTACTTAAAATTATTAACTTCTCAAATGAAAAGGATCAGGATTTAAAATAAGATTTGAGGTAACAGGAATGATTATGAACACAGTTATTTCTGTTGAACTTCGATTCACCTCTAAGATTTTGTTATCTTTTCCAGAACGGATGTCTGCATTAATTTGTATTTCTTTCCAGCCAGGATTTCTCTCCAAAATATCCTTGAGATACTTTCTCAGGATTAATAATGTTAGTGAAATTTCCCTCTGCTAAATACTAGTGCAACATTCATCTTTCTGTTGAACACACACTGTTTAATATTGCATTTGTCAATTTAATAATCAACCCTGTAATTCCTAAATTGTAATATTTAAAACCACTTTTTAAGATGTTCCTTCCCCACACAAAAATTTAGCCAATAATATAAAAAAATATGGAGTGACTGATAAAATATGTGCGTGTACTGAAATGAGTAAAATTATCATATAATAAAATAATTATTTGACTTAGAAAGTCTTGAAACAAATTGTGGATGTTGATAAGTTAGTTAATTTTTGCAAATATATTGCATCTTATTCATTAAAAATATGTTATAAAACTTTTTAATACACTAAATTGCTTATTTTTATTATATTATTCTAGAAGTTTAATGCTTTATATATCTTTTTCTAAAAAGGTCAGTCTTCCAGCCATTACAGACTACCATATTTTGTGTATTTTAACAAATCCAGTTTATAGTTTCATTGATTCTTCACTGCTTATTTTGTGTCTGTTGTGGCCTGATGAAGTGAATCAATGTTTTAATCACCCCGAGACATTGCCAAACAACCACCTCAAAATCTGAGAAGGATTTATAATTAAAATGACACTGACCTGAAATGATGTGTTATTTTATATTCAATTCTGCCTTGAAACTTAATGACAATGTGATTGTGATGAAGTATAAGAATTCATGACAGATAAAAATTAAGTTTACATTATAATATTTCTTCGAACTTCATACACCAACAGAATATTTGTCAAACAAATTGATTGTTGCAAGACAAAAAATATTAGCCTTAAACTTTTTAAACTTAATTAAGAGGTTAAAATTTGAAATTTGATAGTTCACTAAAGGATTTAAAGGTTATTCAAACACATCCAGAATAAATGAAGGAAAATGAAATGTACATCTTATTTTTCATGCAAAATTGCAAAATCATTCTCAAGAATCCTACTGACCTGTTCATCTGAGGTAACTTGAATTTCGTGAACTGCCTTTTCAATACCTTCTTTAGTTCCTGTCACTGTAATCTCTTCAGATGTGTCATTTACACTGGGAACTGTAATTTTGGTTGCAGTATTTTTCTCCAAATCTTTCAATTTTGTTCCATTTTTGCCCAGTATGAACCGATGGTGCTCCTTGGGGATTGATATGGTCGTTTTAGCCTACAAATAAATAATATAATAAAGTATCATTGCCATAGATGCTTTGTTTAAAACACAAAAGAACCAAGAAGACATTTCACAACATTAAAAATGTTGTTGACCTTGGGTAAAGAAACAATCTTGGCATATAATTGTATCTCGTGCAGAGACAATGACTTCATAAGTTGGTGGTTTTCAAACTTAGCTAGATAGCACACCAAAATTATACAGGAAAAAAAGAAGAAAAAAAGACTTATCTGTAGAAAAATACTCTTGAAATGAATTTTCACTGAGATGATTGTCTTGACTTATTGGAGGTGAAAAGTTCAAAGATATCAAGAGTGCATTCCACAATATTCAAGGTCAAAGGTAACCAAAAAAATTCCATAAACATCTCAATTTTAAAGTGTGTGCCAAATGCGATTGTCAACAAACTTGTAAGAAATAAAATTTCCTATAAAACATTATTTACTGCTTTCATACAACAAACTGCACAATGATGTGGTACAGAGAATGGATGATAATGAATAATGAATAGGATAGTTTACAGATGGAAAAATGTATCAACTTCATTATGTTCAATGAACTAATATTATTATTAATATAAAATTGTACGAGATAATTGTACATATAAAAATGTTAAGAAATAGCATAAATTATTTACTTTTCATTATGCTATTTCTTAACTTTGTACAGTTTTTTAAACTTCAGAATCACATAAATAAATTATTATATTAAGATCAGATGATGTTAGTGACTCACCTCTGACATGTGGTTTTCATAATTTGATAACTTCAAGTATTAATGAAATGACAGACATGTAGAATGCCTTAAACAAATGGCACCAAGATCCCAGTTTCCTCAGTGATACTGAAGCTTCACAAATTTGACATTCAACAAATAGGTGAACTTGAAATCTCTACCATCCGGAAACTTAATTATGTTTAGATTGGAATAACTATCAGGTACAAACTTTGTTGGAAACGAGTTAACAAAATAAAAATTGGGGGTTGGTTTACAAGAATGTCTTGGAGACAAATACTAACAACTTTGTCACCAGCATTAACCAACTCTTCAATACAATATTGGGAAATGCAGGAAAGTAGGATTACAATGATCCACATTATGTGATCACTGCCAAAGGACAATCATGCCTACATAAAGATTTTTTTTTTTTAATTTATTTATTATAATAATTTATTTATTATAATAATTTATTTAATATAAAATAAACATTAAAACAAATAAATGCCTCACAGCAAGTATCAGAGAATTACATATAAAAGTAGTAAATACACTCGAAGAGTTAAAGATGGTTGATACACCCTGGATCAGAACATAGAAACGTTTAAGGCAACTAAACATTTTTTTAAAAATTATGATTGAAAAATTGATTCTGTGAGCATAGTACAGTAAAACCCAGTTTTTACGTTTTCCTGCCTTATACAAAATTTTTCGGTGGTCCCATTGAAAACCCTATATTTACAATGCATTCTCTTCCTGCAATTTACAACTTGATATGAAGAGTGCTTCCTGTCTTTTTCATTTTTATATAAGTTTTATTTGATTTTATTTTTTTTTACTTTCACGTACACGTCGTTTTATACCTAGCGCTGAGAAAGTTATGTTATGCTGCAGCAAACAACAGCGAATTTTCAACAGAAAAACTCGTACTGATACTGAAAAAGTGGATAAATCCTGTTCCAATATATAGTACATTACTACATATGTAACAAAATCGCAAATATCTCGCATTCCTTCAGATCAATCGAGGAATATCAATTTTTGAGAAAATCGGCAGGCGTTTTAGACGCTCGCGATGACCACAGACGGGCAAACAGAAGTTTTCAATAGGAAAAAACGCCGTTAATCGATTTTGCTGTTTCAAAGACCCATAAAACAGGGATTCAGGCTACATCACATGTTAGAGGAAGTAATTTAATATATATATATATATATATATATATATATATATATATATATATATAGAAATAAGATTTATCCACTTTTTCATTACCAGGGCACATCAATATGAGATTTTCTGACGAAAATCGCAGATTCCGGAGTATGCTTTTACATTCTCTTCTTACGAAGGGCGACAGAGTAACCATTGCAGTAAATAAAGAAAGTATTCACCTAGGCTATCGTTTTTTCAACTTTTCTGAATTTTACACTTTTTTTCATCAGTCCCCTGAAAAGTGTAAAACAAGGATTGTACTGTAATTGGCGGGCGGGCGCGCGCGCGTGCGCGTGAGTGCGCGCGTGTGTAATCGCAATATAGTTATTTCATATCTCACAATTCGTAGAGGTATTTTTTTTTTTTAATAAATTGACATTATTCATTACATCTACCACTGAGCAAATGCTGACATTGCCACTTGTTTTATTTCTGGTCATAAATGTAGTTTCACTATGCGCGAAGTAGAAGTGGTGCCTGGGGGAGAGGGGCTTGCAATTTCGTTAGCAGTAGGAAAATATCAAACCTGTAGTTCGTTTACTGAATTACTGTTTATAACTCGTGTCTTTTTTTCATATGCTGAAAACCAAGGTTTGTTGGTACTTATTCATCAGCCAACTATGTACAGCCAACAGTAAAAAAATGGGGGAAGAGATTCTGGAGCTCAAAAAAACCCTTGCAGGTTATACTTTTTTCTGCAAAAATCACACACAGTTTTTACTGATCTTTGACAAAAATATAACAAATAAAAACGATTTTTTAAAATCCAATGAATCTGAACTTGTCAACAACGGTGAAAAATAATCATTGGCCTAGTACACCACAAATTGAAGGCTATGACAAGTTATAAAAACTGCATCTTTTGTTTACTGGTACTGTAATCAGAAAGTCAATTGAGAAGTTTTTGATGTCACTTACCGGTAAGTTACCGGCAACACTACTATATTCTCAAAAAAAATATGCCAAATGAATTTAGACCTACTGACAAACCATAATATGATTTGCCTTGCATTCAACTTCAAAAATAATGTGGATTAAATGTATTATATTCTTTGAGTTTGTTACTATGCATTTATTTATATGTATCTGTAGTTTCAAAAAATAGTACTAAGAGATAGATTGTTAAAAAACTGCATCAATAAAAAATAATGATCAAAAATGAATAAATTATTTTTAGATAAACAATTATTTGGGAGTACAGGACCTTGTCGTTGGTGGCGGAGCTTGAGTACCCTCATGACCCTGAGAGCTATGCCGGCGGTAGCGTAGCTACTGGTAGAACCTCCCTTGCCGGACAGGTCAATGGATAGGGGTGAGACGAAAAAGTACTCCAGAAGAGGACCTCAACGCCAAGAAGAGGATTTCGAGAAGAAATTGCTAGAAGAACCATGCATGAACATCGTTGGCGTGGAAAAGATGGTGAAGACGTCCTGGGTAGATGCAAGTCAAAAGCCGTGGAAGGCAATGCATCTAGGGCGAGCAACCTGAAAAACTGCCCTGCAAGTTTGGTGGCAGTGAGATGGCATACCCATCACCAAACTAACCTGCATATAGGCTAGAAACCCTATCAGGCAAAAAAATCCAACTTCTCACAGACAGCAATTACAACCCAACGCCCCATATACGACAAGACAATGGAAAAAACATGATTACGGCTTAGCGGAACATTTACAAATAATGATTTGGAATGTTAGATTGTTGAAAGGAAAAGAGCAACGCCCAAATAATATAATGAAAGAAAAAGAAGTGGATATAGCCATGTTAACAGAAACAAAAAAGAAAGCTAAAGGCTCAATGGATTTAGATGATTATGCCCTTATCTACAGTGGCGTTGATATCAATGAAAGAGCAGCATCAGGAGTTGCAATCCTAATAAGCAGAAGATGGAAAAACCGAATTCACTCTTACTGTTGGATATCAGACAGAATTATCACACTGCGGACTAAAGTAGATAGAGGGTATATATGTTTCATCTGTGTATATGCACCAGAAGAGGGGAAAACCATGGCTACAGAGGAATTTTACAACTGCCTACAAAAAACTCTTGACGAAATAAAGAAAAATGATTATATTGTGATATGTGGAGACCTCAATGCCAGAACTGGAAATGCATCTATGGATAAGATAATTGGCCCCAATAACGAAGATACTCTGAATAAAAAATGGACGCAAACTAAGAGATTTTGCATGTTTTAACAATATGAAAATAATGAACACTTTCTATAAGCATAAACGTATTCACAAGATGACATGGGCAGCACGTGGTCAAATTAGTACTATTGACTACATCACGACAACGATAAAATAAGCACACTCTTAACAGATGTAAGAGCTTATAGAAGCTACGATATAGATAGTGATCACTTCGCACTTTTTGGAAAGCTAAAATTATTGAAGAGATGGGTTAAAATCAAAAACAGCCAAACCTGTCCTACCCAAAAAACCTGGAAAGTATATCTACTAAATAAAGAATCTGTCAAACTGATGTACCAACAACGTCTGAACCAACATAATAAAACACTTGAAATTAGTAACGATGTGGAAGAAGAGTGGAGGAATTTGGGAACTAGAGAACGAAGAAGAAATGACATAAAATATGGAATGAAGAAATCGAAGAAGCTGTTAACGAGAAAAAGAAACTATATCTGAGATATCTAACAAATCCTCACAAACTAAGAAGGAATACACCACAATTTCCAACCACGTCAGGTACCTAACCCTTTGAACACTTGTTTAGGAATTCTGATGTTGTTACATTTCGTAACTGTGATCTTGCCATGAGAAGTCCTGTGTTGGTGACTTTCTCTTACAAGATTTCTAGTTTTAAGCTCGTTTCGATTTGTGTGTTTTTTGTCTGCCAAAAGGCTAATATCCCGCTCCGGCTCTAAGTGAATCTCATTTCGCTGCTGCAGTCCTTGATATCTCTTTATTTTCATTGTCCACACTTACATCCCGTATAAAGCAGCGTCTGGTATTGGCATAACTTTGTAAAATTTAAATGAGAGTGTCTCTTCTCCATTCTGAACTGAGTGTTCTTCCTTATAGTTCCATTCATTTTGATTTG